TCTAATTACATTTCAATTAAACTTGGTACATAGATTTTTTGTTACATTGCGCAGACCTCATTAGTTTTACATATTCATATTAATTTTCTGATTTGCATAGTTAGTTTTCAGCTAAGTAATTTCAAATTATATTTAATGTGTCTCCAGTACTCTCAGCACATGGGAGTTCTTTCTAAGCTTTCTTTGATTATATCTTAAATTATAATTATGATAGTTCTGTTTATATATACATATGACTGGAATTTAAATTTAAGAAAACAAGCTGCAGAGTCTGACCAATTTTAGACAATTATATTGATGCTCTGAAAATAACATTGCAATGTGAGAAAATTACTTAAAACATGGGATGTATGCAGTAAAATTGCGACAATGACAAGTTTATATGCTGTTCTGTTAAGCCCATTTTGCAACACGTTTTAATGAGAAGTGGCCTACCATTCTTGTTTAAATGGTGATTGTGTTGATTTGCTAATAAATTGTAGCTGTCATATGAATATAGCAAAATATCCATTCCCAGTATAACAGTCATGAATCAGCGGTGGGTGTGTTCTCATATTACCTGAGGGTAACAGCATGAAATGCCAACAAACTTATTGTCTACACAACTTTCATTTAGATATTTCTTACGGTAAATTGTCACTTTTGCCACCAATGGCTAAGAGTCATTTTAAACTGAATTATTCTAAGAAAAATTTCAGCATTTAAATCAAATGTCATCACCCATAGAATGGTAAATTAAACTTTGGTAAAACATATTGCTTAATATAGTATATGTTATAGTAGCCTAGTTTACATCCCAAATTTTTGAAAAATTCTTCATTTCATTTCTATCAGTGTGTCTAAATCACTTCGAAATTGGCTAAGAAAAACATAGCAGTCCAAGCAAGTATGGCCAAGTTTGTTTTATCCTAAGCGAAGCGCAAACCGGGCTTGTGAACACTAGATTGGTTTGCGCTTAGGATAAAACAAACTGATGCAATTCTAAGCACGGCTTTAATTGTTGTGCTATGTTTTGTTTCAGATCTTTTTCCACTACAGTGAGTTCCTAGGAAATATAAATGATTTACAACTTGGTGATGATGTAGAATTTGGTATCCAGATGAGAAACAATAAAGAAGTATCAATCAACATAAAGAAAGTCCTCGCTGGTACCGTTGTATTTGAAGATATTAACAAAGCTAAGACTGTGGGAACTGTAGTTAAACCATTAACAAGATTTTCCAACAGAAAAAATAACGATCCACTTCCCGGTAAACTTGTTTATGACACAAAAGATAGAGAGTGAGTATGAAATTCATTTATTAACCTATTGAGTGTCATAATTTTTAATGACAAATTTTAGTATTTTTCTATATTCTTTTTGAAAATTCGTTACCAAATGGAAATAATTTTGTGTAAAGTTACGGTGAATTTTTGACTAAATCACTGTCTGAAATTGTGAATGGTGGCGAAAGTTGACTTTGGCACTCAAAAAATTAAATGTTACAAGAACTTTATTATAATTTGTGTTTATTTCAAAAAAGACAATTTTTTGTGTACTTTGCAACTCGAAGGGGGGGGGGTCATTGACTATTTTTGCAATGAATGATGGGATATTGCACACAGTGCAATACGGCAGGAATTCAGGAATGCCATCACTTTCATATTTTAGGGTTTTTGCTGACACAGTGTCTTCATGAAATTTGATTCTTACAAATGCTCAGCTGTGTAAGCATACAGTATCCTGTGCTCCAAATTTATTTACTATCTTCACATTGTCATGTGATGTGCATTTTTTACATGCTGTACGTCATGAGTTTATTTAAAACAGAACTTTATTGTAATCTGCATTTATTTCACAGTCAGAGAAAACTCACAGTGAAAATTTCACTTGGGGTGGGTTGATTTAAATAAACCCATGATGTACAAAGTCCATAACAGGTCTTTCCTGGAGATATCTCGGCAAAGTTGTTGGAGCCCGTCCAACATTGTTAATCAGCATCCTTGTATTTGTGGTTTTATAAGGTTATATTATTTTATTTATAGCATTCTGGTTTATAGAAAATTTAATCTTGTATGTCAATCAGTGGAGTTGAAAATTTATAAATTTGTTTGCAGACAAAAAGAAATTCCTTTCGGTGATAAAGACCAGGTTGGAGATTACACTTTACAGACTGGTGACTTTGTACAATTCAATATAGCCACTGATAGGAGAGATAAATTACAGCGAGCCACCAATATTGAGTTATTGGAAGAAAGCTTCTTGAAATCGCGTGAAAAAAGGGAAAGTGGAATTATTGCGGCAGTGAAGGAAGGATTTGGATTCATCAAATGTGTGGACAGAGATGCAAGAATGTTCTTCCACTTCAGTGAGCTGCTTGATCCTGTAAGTTGGTATCAAAGTTTGTTAATATTTGCCTAACAGGGTGTTAGAAATGTGTGTGGTTTTTGGTTTTTCCTCGTAATGAAGTGAAGTCAATAGTAGTGGCAAAATGTCTGTCGTCCAGATTCAGCATCAGCGTCATTGTTGTCAACTTTCTCATAGGCGTTATAACTCCAATAGTATTCAGCTGATTGCTATCAAGCTTTAATGTATGGTTAATTTGTAGATATAGTTGGCCTGCATAGATTTCAAAGATTTACAAAAATTGTATTTTTGGTAATTGTTTAAAAAAAAATTTCTAAGTGTGTATAGTGTAAGTGATGTTAGGACCTTTGCTTTGCAAGTGATCAATCAAGAGTTTAAATCTTATGCTAGGAACTAAATTTTTTTCTTACTTTTGAATAAGGAATTCTATAATTTTCAAGTGTTTTTATTTTAAATAATTTATTTGCAGATTTTCAGCATTTTCTTTGACTTTCTTATTATGTTGCATATTATTATTAGAGGGCACCTTTTAACTTTTTGTTCAAGACTTCTATGTTTAACATTTTTAACGAATTTAGTAACAAATGTGGTTGTAATTAGTGCTAAATCATTCAACAAAACAGGGAGGGATGATCAGTCATGATTTCTAGCAATTTAACTAATCTAATCAGGTTGTTTGGTAAATTTTGTTGAATTCATGATAAATAAATTAACTTTAGCGTTAATCAGGGTCAGGTCACTCTACTCTACTTTACACCTGCTTTTGAATTTCTTTAAATTGTTTCTTTAAAGATTCATGAGTAACTATTTTTCTTATATTCTAATTACCCCGGTAGGTGATTACTCTCCAACTTATATTATTATTTATCTGTATGCATAGGTGAACTTTTCTACCCAATGCTATGACCTTCTCATCATATGCAGTGGTCTTCTGTACCGTTTGTAGTCTATCTTCCCAGCTTATGCTGTGATTTGCTGTGTAATGATATCCCCACCTATATGCTATGATCTAACCACCCTTTATACATATACAGAGAAGCCATGTGTAGTTTAACTATGTTTTGTGACTTAATATTAAAAACTTGTAAATCCCTTCTACTCCTGCTTTTTGTGTTATCATTATGAAAAATCAAGTATCAGTTCCAGGTATTAAATATCACTTCATATCCGCTATTCATAGAGGCTTTTAAGAGTTGATGTGGTAAGCTATCAATTGTTATTTGATATTGATGTTTACTACCGGTACTAACCCAGTATATTCACGAACTCAAATTATCTACTCTCAAATTGCTTTATTTCAGTCGCATGAAATCAAGATATCCGATGAAGTGGAATTTACGGTGATACCAGTAAGTTATACAGCATCTTCCGAAAATGACAAAATTAAGGTGATGATTTTTACTTACATTTATTTATGGTGCCAGTTGGGATATAAGGATTATTTTATTTTTATTCTTTCATCAATTATGTATCACCTGTGTATCTTGTTTGTATTCTATGAATGCCTAGCATAGATTTGAAAACACTTGCTTTCTGAGACTATAAAAGCCTCTTGACTAATAATTTAATAACCATTAATTATTTACTGGGTTTTAATTTCCTTTGATACTGGAAAATACTTAATTCAGCTGGAACTAATTTTCTTTAAAAAGACATATTGGCTATTTTGTATTAAGTTTATTGTCATTGATTTTCGATAAGTTGATTGTTAAATATAAAAGAAAACGCTTTTTCACGTTTTTTTTTTTATTTTCGTTGATTCATCTTTTCAGCAGAAATATAGTTTGTGAAATCTAGTGTATGAAACTTATGTAAACGTGTAAAATTATAATAGAACTTGAAATCTGTAAGTTTAAAACCCAGTGAATGGTGTCATTAAATACCAGTGAAAATTTATGCTATTACAGTATACGAGTTTGAAACGCATTAATGACATTGTCAGTTAAGTTCTGTCATGAAAGTTTTGATTTGAGATAAATTTTATTAGTTTTGTGCAGTGTTCATAGCTGGATACAACATGTGCATGATCATAGATGATACATTGTTGATGTGCATCTGCACTTTTTTTGAATACTGCATGTTACAATAACAATAATTTCATTCCAGCATGGATTTGATGAGTCGTCTTTACAAATAGACCAGCTACAAGTGTATGCACTTCTCAGACTTAATCATTATCAGTGTCTTAACACTAGTGACAGCCATACTACAATTAATATACCATGTATCTGGCATTATGGTTTATATCAATCTACTATACCTGAATATTCTAGTCATTTGTGCACTTTGTCATTGACGTACATTTACAATTCTGATTAAAACATAGCATAAAGACAACATATTAATGAGGCACATAATTTTAATTAGCGCACTATTATTGCCTAATTTGTGATTCTAAAATCTAGCTACTTAGTTGTATCTATGCATTGAATGATTTATTTGGAAATCACTGTGTCTGCATCTAGAATTTGCATTCTCACTTTGCAAATCCATGAAGTAATGCCCGCTGCCCAATAAAACACCACCAAATGTTAAGATTGTTGCAGGGTAATTCAAATTTTAAGTGTAAAATATGTATTTGTTTCACATTTGTAACGTGTGAATGCAACTTTAAAGGCTACAGGGATATGATTACTGCTATAAACTTGTTAGTGCTTTTAATTGTGTTGTGCAATTTGCTGGAAAAATCACATATATCATCCACCAACTGCCTCATGGTTAGTGTTACGGCACGCTGTAACTTATGGCGTTACGGTGACAGATGTATAATAATATCAGTTAACTTTCAGAAGCCATTCATTAACTTGCACTGTTTGTAACTGGTATGGAGCATGTTTCTAACACTGTCTACTACATGTATGAAGCTGTGGACTATTGAAACATGCATACAGCAAAAGTAATCTATTCATTTTGAAGATTCAAAGTTTGGGATTGAAGGCTATTTTAATTACTGTAAAATACTTTATTTTAGCTGGAATTAATTTTCGCTGAAAAGACTTTTTGGGTGTTTTGTATATGGAATTTATTTTCACTGATTCTAGATGATTTAAGTGTAAAATATAGGAAAAAATGTATATTCGCTGGATTTTATTTTCACTGAATTATCCCTCCAGTGAAAATAGCTAAAATAAAGTAATTTACAGTACTGTGGGCAAAAAATGTATAGATTGCATTTTTGTTTACCAGAGTAAGGGTTGTTAAATGTTAAATGAAGAGATTACGCATGGTTTGCATGTGTTCTAATTCTCCATGACCCTTAAACTGATGGCGTGATATGTTCTAACATTGTATATTTGATTATAGGATCCAACACAAGCTCAGAGACAGATTGCAATCCGTATTAGACCATTACCTAAAGGATCTGTTACTTTTCAAACTATATTACCAGGCATACAAGAAGGTTATATTGATAGAGTGCCCATCAACCAGGTGAGATAAATTTTTGGTACTGATTAGGCCAGACTTTTATTATCCCTTGTTTCATGAACCCACCGAATGAACAGGAGCAGAAAATGAAATAAAAATATAATTTTATTTCAGCGCAATTTCTCGTGCCCGCCAACTTGTAAGCGCAAAAAATGCTAAAAAATACATTTTTTTACCCCCCGCCACATAACAATCCAAGTTGCATTTTTGTGGGAGTATCATGATCAAAGTACCAAAGTCTCGCGCAGATGAGAAACAAGGTTATACATGGAAAAAAATTTTATTTCATTTCTTCTCTCCGATCAATGATCTCACTTACAATTCTCACAAATCTGATGGAAAAAAAGAATTAATTTTTTTTTTTTTTCGCCCTCCTGAACGATCATACATTTTCGACATGTTGTGCCTCAAAAATAGATGTTCTCTGTATCTTGGACATGCCTGGACCGATTACATTGAAACTTCAGACATACATCATACATAATATTAATATATATACACATATTTGTTTGACGATCATATACAAGATGACTGAATGTCAATCATTTTAATGTGAAAAAATCATCATAATCAAGCATCAGCTTCTGGATCCATATCTTTGACATGTTTATGTTTCAAGCATATTACAACAATGTATAAACATATATCTTAAATTTGATAACTAACGGGGACTGTGCCATGCATGGCTTGTTGTTTATGTTTCAGTCATTATTCAATACAAAAATGTGTGCTCTAAAATACAGCAACCAAGTATCTTGATCGATCATGTACAAAGCTAAGGTCTGCCATGTTTTAAAGTAGGCATGAGTTGACCTACCTGGTATCCTTTGACCTGTTTTTCAAGAAAACAAAAATAATGTGTGGTACTACTGTATACACATCTTTTTAATATTGGCAACCGCAAGGAATGCATTTCCTGTTGTGGAAAATCAGAGTACAGCCCATTGATGTTGATTTTGCTTGATGATAATTTTAGTAGCGATTAGCACTTTTTCAAAGGTTATACATGTATAAGTAGTTTTAACAACATTCGTAATGATAACAAAAGAAGTGATTTTACCTACTGGTGGTATTTTTGGCCATGAAATTGTGTAATGAGTGATTGGGTTCTGATGGAAATGTTTTTCTGACAACAAATGATGCAGCTTGTGTGGGAGAAAATTATGTAGTATGGAAACATCACTGTAATTCTATGTCTCAGTGACTTTTCTGAAATTTATTCACCGACCACTGCCTTCAGAAAAAAAATGATTACAGTCTAGTTCAAAAATTAACAATTAGTTGATGGTTGGCATTGTTTTTTAACGTTCATTCCTATGTACTTTCTATGTACCGCTGTGATTAACATGTGGTATTATAATTTATTTCTACTTGTTCTTTTCAGTGGGGTAAAAGTCCCGGTAAAAACAAGGACAAGGAAGCTGACTTGGGTACCATTTCATATGAAGAAAACGGAAATAAAATATTGATAACTTATCATGCTAAAGACACTGATATCAGACAGGTACCTGAAGAAGACGATAAGGTAAAAATATGCATCTAATGGATCAACCAAGTTTTGCATTATACTGTAATATAATAACAGCAATAAGCAAAGAATGTTGTCACTTACAGTGATCGGGAATATGCAATTTTACGCAGATATTTACCTATACCAGCTTCTGTTTTGTAAAACGTGTTGAGTGTGAACGTGTATTGTAGGTAATTAGGCTTCTTTTTGGGATGTTTATAAACATACTGATTCTTCATACCCACTGATATGATAGCAAAATATGAATTGATGACATCGTAGATTCCATACATAGATTACAATGTGCATTAAGGTGTCAGCGTCCAAGGAAACCTACTAAACAGGTTGTAAACTATATCAAAGATTTATACGAAAGCCTGGTTATACAACAACCGGAAACACTTTCTAATGTACAGACACCTTTAATCCTAACACTATCCTGACCCCTACCCTCTCTTGCCCTTCAAATTAATTGTATATGCCCCTCTTGAGGACACCTATAAGGACATATACAACTGAATTGGGGGGGGGGGGGGTGCTGGAGGTTAAGGTAAGGAGTAGGGTTACATTGGAAAGTTTTTCCCAACAACCTTCTTGTTCTATGTTATGTACTGTAAACCAATTTGTGTATGTTGGATAAAATCGCCAAATTTGTTTCAATGGTTACGTCAACGGGTTCCTACCATGCGTAGGACGAATGCCAAAATCTTCAAATTGCTAGCAGTGAAATTTAAAACCTGATTTGTCTCATGATTTTACAGAGTATTACAATATTGTTATCATGCTTTCTTGTAGGTGGAGTTTTATATTGCTGAGATAAAACGTAACAGTGCTCACATGGCTGTCAAAGTCAAAGTCCTAGATCGGAATATCAACACCAGAAAATATGGCTACATTGCTACGTTGAAAGAGAACTTCGGTTTTATTGAAACAGCTGAGCATGACAGAGAAGTGTTCTTCCACTATAGGTAAACTACAAGATATGTTCCATTACTTAGACTCGGCTCCAGTTTTCAGTCACTAAGCTACTGTGACTGCCTTGGCATCTTTCATGTGAGCCACTTGCTGCAAGAGACTGGGGAAACTTGCCCACAGTTCTGTGTCAGTTAATCATTCTGAGGAGTGAAGATAAATAATGATATCACAAGTACTGTAGAATACTAAGTTTTCGCTTGGAATTTATTTTCACTATTTTCGCTGAAAAGATGATTCTTTGAAAATAAAATCCAGCGATTATACTTTTTTTCCTACATGTATATTTCTCATTAAACTCATCAAAAATCAGTGAAGATAAATTCCATACAAAACGCCCAAAAAGCCTTTTCAGCTATTAATTCCAGCGAAAATAAAGTATTCCACAGTACTTCGTACAAGTCAACTACATGTAGTCACCAAGTGTGTTGTTTACTTTAGACAAAAATGTAATTAAATGTTTACTGTACACACAAATTTGCAATCGCCATAATGAAACAAAAAATTTCTCCTTTTATCGTGTTTTTTTTGGGGGGGGGTTGAGCTGTACTTCAAATAAGGGTATATGCTAGAAGAAAAGAGCGAGTACAACCTAACAAAACCAAAGATACAGATATTCTATAAGCTGTTGCTTTTTTTTAAATTTCACTCTGAATATGAATAACATTTCTCAGATCTGGATGAAAGTTTCGACCAAAGAATGATTCTGATCATTATCTGCTAAGTAAAGTGGTTATTGTCCTTCTACTTAGTAAAAGTAACTTGGGGTGCTTATTGGAATAGAAACAGTAGCATTGGTAAACAATTTTGAAATTTCATATCATGCCATATTTATAAAATGTTTTTATTGTGCCTTAGTGAGTTTGACGGTGATGTCAACAGTCTTGATCTAGGAGATGAAGTAGAATATTCGGTAGCAAGGAAAGGTGCTAAAGTGTGTGGTGAATCTATAGTGAAACTGAAGAAAGGAACAATTCCAGGAGAGGTAAGCAGTTTTACTCATGAGCAGAAATATAAATCAGTCAATTCTAAGCAAAAAGGCAGCTACAGATAGACATGGTATCTATGTCACCAGAACGGTTTACCTTAGCAGAAAAATACAAAATTGTATGTATTTGAACTGGAATTGACACAATTACTCTTTGAATATATATTCCTTCTCTCTTAACTCAAAATACTATTACAGTCAAAATAAATCAAAACCAGTTATGCAGGATATAATTTATTTGGTATGCAATTTATTCTTACTGACTTGACTTGGTGTTAAAATAACCACAAGCAAATCCCCACTGACTGTCCTTAGTGCTCGTAATCTAACTTGTGGCCTGTGTTGACTGAATTTTTACCTTTATGTTAATAGCGTTTTCATTTGAAACAAGCACTGAGCATTACATCGCATGATTAATTAGACAAACATTCAATTACAAATGTAGCGATAAACTATGAAACATTTGCAACTCTTATACTGTCGGCCCAGTGTACTTTTACATTGACCTAACCAGATAAGAGATAAAATAATGTCTCTAAGTCTATGTTCATGCAAATGTGTTTATGAGTTTTTTTAATGAGATTTTTTTATGATTATGGGCTCGGCATATAAAATAATATTGCTGATGTCTCAAAATATTCTGCAGCATATACATGTAATTGATCCCTGTTTAGGATTCATCCGTGCATACATCCATCCGTCCGTCCAGAGCCATTTCTCAGACACATTTTGATCGATCCATACTTGTGCACATTAATTGTTAGGACTGCCTGCTCAAATATGGTTGATTGGCAGCCATTTTTGTCCTTGAAATTCTTTGTTTGTGTCTATGCCGATTCTTCATTAATATATCACCTGATTCAGTTGTAAGTTTGCACATACGTTAGGTTGCATTATTTTGTTATTCGATCAAATTTTGTGAATAGAAACGGCCATTTTGTCTAAAAACCTGAAATGACAGTCTGTAAATATGTCCCATCAATAATAACATGTTTTATTCATTGTTTACAGACGTTACAGCCAGGAATACACCAGGGTAAAGTCTTGCGCCCTCTACGCAACATAGACCCCCAGCAGAGTGAATATGAAGGACTTGTGCAGCAGATTGAGGGAGGTATGTATTAAGTACATTGTATCAATGTCAAACAGCCAATCAGTGACTCCATGCATTTACAACCTTCACAATAAATGCAATCAATCTGTTCCCAATGTGGTAACAAATCTATGCAATACCTTAGGTTCCCAAGAACTCGGCAGTATATGCCATTCGCATAAAATTTCATCAAAGTTTGTAACTTTGTCTTGTGTAAAATTTCACAGATGGTAACGAGGAAGCGATTTACCCCTATGGTATAACAAGTCTGGCAGATAAAAAAGAGTTCTTACAGAAAGGAGATATTGTGAGATTTCAAATCAGTATTGCAAAGAATTCTGGGAAGGAAAGAGCTTGTAATGTATCAGCTATAAGAAAGTATATAAGAGCCTGTGTGGACTCTGTCAAGGGGCAGGTGAGTGTATTTGTTGTACAACAAGTGAGGGGGATTGGTGGTGAATGGAACAGCCACAGTTAAAGTGTGTTTATGGTTGTAAATACCGTACTCGACCTCATTAGCACCCAGGGTCCTCAACTCAGAAAATCAAATTTTTTTAGGGGTGGGCGCTTACCTGAGCATCCCCCTCGGGGAAAAAAGTGCAGATGACAATTTTAATTCACCATGTGACAGATTGAGAAGGATATTATGTCTTCGAGGAAAAATAAAATTACGAAATTAGTTTTGTCATTGACTTTTACAATGAAGAAACACAATGTGCACAATTTGTTTCAAAATCGGATCAAGGATGGCCTATTGACAGCCATTTGACATTTTGGCCTTACAACTATATTTCCAAGATTTATGTACCATTTTCATTCGTATTTGGCACATACATCTTATATGTCACTTTGTTTCATAATCAGATCAAAAATGGCTGAATAACGGCTGTTTTTATTTGTGGCCATATTACTATATCTCTGTCGCCCATTTAGCATGTCATAAATGGATACATGTACATGTCCATTCAATTTGATCAAATTTGGCCGACTGGCGGCCATCTTGTTTGTTTAAAATGTGATAACTTGGACATGCTTTCACTTGTGATCTATGTTTTTCTTTGCTATGTCTTAAACCGCAACACATGTTCGAATTTGATGTAAATAAACAATTTGTTGTATACGCCTCTTGGAACTCAAGTTTCAAGGTCATGCTCGCGACAACCCCTTCAATTTAATATGAGAAAGAGAACTTTCAAAAATTTAACGAGGACTGTGTCATTTTCATTGACTTCTTTTTACTGCATCACTAGTCAAATTTGCAATAGTGCTTACTGCTTGGCAACCTCAAAAGTGTCTTAGAAACCCAACCTATGAAAAAAAATTAAAAACACTTACAGTACATTGACTTTGCAATTTAAAATTGTTTTATTCAGTTTGGTTTCATTGATTATGAAGTTGGTGAAGACAATAAGAAGTTATTTTTCCACATGAGTGAAGTCCAGGAAGGAACAGAGTTGCAGCCTGGAGATGAAGTGGAATTTGTTATCGTACAAAATCAAAGAAGTGGGAAATACAGTGCTTGTAATGTGAGACGTATAAGGTATGTACATATTCAAATAACAAGTATGAACTTATTGTCCACTTTGAATGCCATTAATCTGGTCCAACATTTGTAAAAAAAAATTCTTTGGTGCTCAGACAGTTATACTTGAGATCAAATCTCAAATTTTATGAAGGTCATGGGACTATTCCCGGATTCAGCTGATACCCTGCCCTGCGTGGTCTTATGGAGGATTTGATTTTTTTTTTAGAAAAGTTTTTAACAAAAGATCGCCCAGGGCAATGTTATGACAGATAAAAAAAAACTGCGCTGGTAAAAGTGAAGGAAAAACAATGGCGATGGTCGTACCACCCATAATGTTCTTAGTCTGTATCACATTCCAGACAAAAAGTTCAAGATCGGTAAACAAGAAATGGGGGAACTAAAATGTCTCCTGCGTTTCACGTGCGACATGATTATTAATAAAAAAAAATGGTTAAGCGGTCATGTACGTTCTATAATCTAACCTTGCACACATAATCTTGTTTTGACATGTTTTTTGTCAAAAAGACGTTCCCTTTCGTACCGTGTTCATGGTATTTGTGGCAGTTATAAGATATATAGCTGGGTGGCCCAACTTTAAATATCAGTAATTCAAAAATGTGGTCATTAGACTTAAGTGCGCTGACCAGAATTTATTATATTATAGTAAAATTTATCATAACGCTTGGCATGGTATGTTATTGTATAGTTTATATTACATATTCACTTCATTTTGATAAAATAATTCACCATTGAAACCTTTGGTAGACACCTGACTACTATCTTTTTCAGTGATTTAAATGCACCCATGTTTATGTTGATGTAATTATTACGAATGCATTATCAAGTCCATAATATTGAAATATTCAGAGACCCAATTCCCCGGGTCAGTTCCCTAACAATAGTAAAAATAACTTGAGTTTGCGTAATTATCATGAAAGCATTACATTACAATGTTGAAATATTCAAAGCTGGTACCAGGGATTGCGTTAACGTGGAATTACGCGTCCGGGAAGCATAGTTTTTCTGTGGGACGCATGAATTTTTCAACTGGTGAGTCCCTGGGACGCATCCGGTGAGCACATGTCTCGGTCGTATTATGATAGGTCTAAAGGCATTGTGTGCGTTTGCGATGCCATTGTCCCGCATACAAAGTTCATAAAGCTTTTAAATTCACTTACAATACTGTGCCATTGTCTTCAAAAACACCTATTAGCATCTACATTTCACAATGGAAAGTGTGAAGTCCCGTCTGAAGTACGGCGAGACAGTCAATACTGAGACCTGCTAATTTAACCGCCTAAAACTTACAATGTCACCCAGGGTAATTTTTCTCCAAAAAATTACTTTAACGAACCTGGTACGTGAAATAAACTTTATTTTCCTAATTTAATTGGTAACGAAATTATATTCTAAACAAAGTAAAAACGATCACAACTGCCGAGCAACAACGGTTGCGCAATCCAGTCATTCTGAGTTTCACAATTGTTGATTATTACTCAGTAGTGATTATAATAACGTTTAAAAAAAACAAATTTGTTGAATTGTAATGAAATGCAAATAAAATTCAACTTCGTTTCGTCGTAAGCAAATAATTCCGGTCGCAAATTAACGCTCGATGCTGTCGAGTATCCGCCATGTTCCTTGTCTTGCATGGTTGACCCAACAGAGGGTCTATGGTTGACCTAATACTAGTAGGTCAAATCTCCAATTAACCAATAAAAATCCTGGATAACGCCAACGTGTTCAAATTACCATAGGTCATTTAAATATGTTAATGTTATTTAACACAACGCGGAAGAGATTTGCCGATGTACGATCATTTGGCTTGGATTTTTACGGGAAAACGGCATGATTTTTTTTTGTCAAATCAAAAAATAGTTGTTTTCAAAAGATAAACTAAGCGTTTGAAGACTAATTTAACATAATTTACAGTGACAACAACTCGAACCGAAACGAAGTTTGCACACTCACGCTAGTCACAAAAAACATACTCTTGAAATTGAATAAAAACTTAAACTCTATTTTAGGCGTCAGGAAAGATTGAAATGTCCGAAAAATGACGGCAAAATATTTAAATAACAAATATTAAATAAAATCTGCCGAAAAATCGCCGATTTCTTGGTCCCATTTAATTTTTTTTTAAAACCATAACTGCCCAGATGCGAATTTACTGCAGAATCTGGTACTACTGAGTACTAGTATGTACAAATTTTGGGTGTATTGTTTTCTGGGGGCAATATTAATTGAAACAATACAAGTGACTTTGGGGGGAAAAAAATCACTTTTCTAGAAGCCATGGATCGATTCGTTATTTGCAAGATCGCCTCCCCGGCAGGTTCCATGTGGCATTGCCTTTTCTTGACAGAATCGTATTAAGTCTAAGTTAAGTCTGACACTATCTCATTTATCTTGGCTTATGAAGAACTTGAAGGTAAACCCAGTAATGATTTAAAATTTTTACAAGCAGCATTACATTTTAATAACAGTAAAAATAGAAGTAAACCATGTAAATAATGCAGATTGCTGACATGTAAAGGCTGGAATGAACATGTAAATAAAGTACAATATAAATGTGATTAATGCCTGTTTATGTTTATTGTGTAATAGTTCGTGCAAAAAACTATTTTAGGAAAATAAAGTGCGGTAGCAGCAGGGACCCCACATATTTTTAAGGGACCCACACATTTTATAAGGGGTGGGTCCCAGGGACTCCACATTATCGAACACTAATGCAACCCCTGTTGATATCATGTGCATGTGGGTTATAATTGTGAAGAATGATTGAAATGGTAAAGTAGCCGGTCACTGGTAGCATAGTGGTTGTCCTTCCAGACTCGTGATAGGTAGACCCAAGTTCAAATCCTACCTTGGGCTGAACATCAAAGGGTCGACCCCTACCCTGGGTGAGTGTGCCACAGACTCAATGGGAAGGCCAATTCCACTGGCCGAGATTCATTCACTAACGAATGCGACTTTGGGGGAACCTTGGCAGATGCTTGTGTTCGACCGAACCTGGTTGACGCCAAGATAGCGCATTAAAATTGGCATTTGATAGAGAGATGGCCACACAGCCCTGTCATGTAGTCCCAAACATATGACTTCTGTGGCAAAATGCACTGTGTCAGCACTAGCACTTGCAATTTGCTTATACAAAAAAAAAGTCAGGAGAGACAACAGTGACATTCAATGTCTATCGCCTGGCACAACAATATTTAATTGAAAAAAAAGGGGGGGGGGGGACATGCGTAAAAGAGAGATCGTTTAGGTTGTACCTCAATCTGCATTGGCGTGACCTATGCAAGGATTGTATTTTCTCAATTGGTGGTTGCCATCTGGTTACATTGTAATTGTATGTGTTAATCGTTGTAGTCTTGTTTTGTTATGAATTTCCTAGTAAACCAGTAGAAACTGCAGTGGACATTGAAATGGGTGACAAGAATGAAGATTCAGTTGAAGAGGTTGAAGTTGAAGAGAGTGGTGGTAAACAGGGTTCTGGTGATGCTCCTGGTAAATCTGCTGGTAAGTAGCTTTGTGATGATTTATGTTTGTCCCATGGCCTCGAGTACAGTCATTGTGCAACTTGTCGATTTTTTTTATGTTCTAATTGATTATTCATCACTTCAGGGCCGTGCATTTATTGCACTTGTATCACATTTTTATGTTTATGCCATTGGATTGTGCTTTTATTGCTTTTCCATTAAGTTTGGGTCATGCATTTTAACAATCGATCTTTTCATTCTTTCATGTGGTGCGCTAAGATAAGTGATGAAAATGTGTGATGTAAGTGGCGAAATAAGCATCAGATTGCAATAATTGGTATACTGCCATCAAAGTGTGAACATGAGCAATAGGTTGGGCAAAAGCTGTACTGTTTGTTTGTTTGTTTGTTAGGGTATACATTTGTCTTTATCATCTGCAAAGGAATTGTTTGATTCAAATTGCCCGACTGCTTTCAGTTTTGTTTACTAAATGTTTGTCCTGTCAATGAACTGTTCATAAAGTAAAAAAATATTTTTTTTTACGACATTGTTTGATATTTAGTCAACCATTTTCATTTTCTAAACTTTTTAAACATGATTAATTATAAGCTTGTGGTCAACTATTGAATCCATATACTGTAAAAAGTTATACTAGAATACATCGCCTGATGAAAGCATCCAAGGATAGACGATATCAATGAGGGAAAAAACAGCATCAGTGTTAACCTTTTGAATTCTGAAGTCAGCAAAATGCCTACATACGTCTTTCATAATTTTTCAGAAACGTTATCAAAACCTGTAGCCATCGGGGTATGTCCATTTAAACAGTATAAATGTAATAGAAAAGACATTAGTGTGCAGTTTAGCAGCACCAATTTTCTCTTCAAACATCATGGGTTCAATTTTCTTCAAATCTGTTAGCTTCTTAGACAGTTTTAATACCTGAGAGTCGAAGCGTTTGCTGTTTGTTTCATTAGAATGGCGTTTCAGAAGGTGGGTAAGAAGACGCAATTGAATCAAAATGCAGCCTTTGTATTTTCATCATGTGGGCAAGTGTTTAGAAAACTCTAATTTTCAAAATTGTTATTATTAGTTCAAATCTAGAGTCTACGAATACCCTAGTGTTTGTAAACATGTTTGATTTTCTAATTCAATGGGAATTGGAAAACTGGAAGATTTTGAAAGGAACATACTTTGTTGGTGAATGTCCATTTTCATCATCATCTGTACTGTGAGAGTACTTGACCTGCATTTAATTGAATTATTTCACGTATCGTTTCCCTTTATAAATGACATGCTTTACTGCTCGTCTTGCATCTCCAATGCTTAATTTTGCTCATATGCACGAGTTGTCATTCTTGGTGTGAGACATTATTTTTGTACACTCAGATGTTGAAAAAGATATAGATCATAGGGAAGTGATGGTGGGGGGGGGGGGGGAATCCACCCTGATGGGGATCAAAAATCTCAAATTCCAAAATAGTGGATTCTAGGGAGCTATTAAATATGTGACAAATTTGGTCACTGTTACAATGGCAGTCAAATCGGTCGAGATAAACGTAAATGCTGTGAGACTTGATACTGTAGAACTGTCAGCATTCATGGTGTCCCCAGGAACTAAGGATTTATGTCAGGTCTATCATGGAATGCTTCTTGATGAATCTAAATGCAATATTCTTTGTTATTGAGTTTACTGTGTATTGAACATGGTAGTAATTACTATTGTTTCCTGCATGCCTAGGGGCTAATGCAATCCATGTATCAGATATCCATGGCTAGTATACCTTGTTTGAGCATGTAAAACAGAATACACTGTCAGCATCTTTGAACTTTGACAATCAAATTAACCACGACTAATAAGATAATGGTGTCGTATGTCATGTATTTTTTGTGTCCAGGTGACTTCATATTGTAGGCTTTCAGTAATTGTAGACAATTAGTGTGAGAGATTAACTGGTTACAAGTTCATTTATCACTTTCTAAAATGATGTTGACTTCTAAGAATTGCATTAATTTTTAGCCAGTTACAATCAGTTTATTATGGGTCTTGATTACGACTGTATCAGATTTTTACCTACATTAATGCGGCTTCTTTTTTTTTCTCTCATTTTTACTGCATATACATGTATGGTGTGTGTGGTTAGTATTTCTGGGTTTAGAAAATTAAACTGAAATCATAAGCACCAAGGAATTATATATTGGATTATGCCAAAAAATAATTATCATCACACATACATTTAATAGTTTTATAATTTCATGTTTTAACACCAATGAAAGCATGTCCTCTATAAAAGATGCCCCGTTTCTTAGAAGTTAATCTTGGTTGTCACCAATCTGTCACACATACAGTACAGTTCTCGCGGAAGCTTTGGCTTTTGTGGCATCATTTTCACCTACGCATGGCTTCATTGTCGCCTCAGCTTCGCAGTCTCATGGCATCAACATGGCATCAACTTCAAAATATTGTGACATGAGTATGACCTAATTATTTTCACATGGAAAGGCAGTAGTGAAAATCACATGTACAGAAGTTCTATATGTAATCGATTTGAAATTCAAAGCGGTAAGGGGAATAAAATAATTTGACCAAGAGTAAAATGACATTTTAAACAAATATCTTGTTTAATTATTTAATGTTGCGAGTATTGGGTACCAAAAACTATGTGAAGTACATTGCAAGGTGACGAGTGTCATATTGACTGCAAGGAAAATCGTGATAAATTTAAATCACATGATGCAATCGTCGTTCGGAAACAACACAATTTGCTATACGAAATGAAACTGTTCTTGTTATAAAATTACCTTATTTTCGTTCATTTTATTTGCTGGTAAGAGAACAGATTCAGATTCCTCATTTTGGTGGTATTTTTCTGTGTTTCGTTTAGTTTTAGCCGAGTCCGATCCCCGGACTACTAGTTCATGCAAAACACGCGTACACCGCCTGGTGCATCGGCGTTGTCGCCTGCCATCTTGATACAAAGTTCCAAAACAAGTACGTATATTTCCAACCATGATTGGATGGTTGTGGTGGCGTCGTTATGGTAAAATTTTACATCCAATTTTCAAAATTAAGTCACGATCAGTGACCACAGGCCTTGTAAAAAATCGAATAGCACTTGACATGCAGAAATAATTTTTTGGGCTTCAGTAAAAAAGTGTTTATTTAGTTGTAGCCGTAAATATTTGGTGACCAGTCGATGAACAATTTGAAACTCATTGTACACACGGAAGTCCTTCGATACTGAATATCATCGACCCCAATCTGGTTTACCTTGTTTCCCAACTTGCAAAACTGATTTGTATCTCAGCCCAGTTTTTCTTTTTTTGAACTGAGGTCAAACCCCAGCCGTTTGTCAAAATATACCAATGTTTTTAATTGAATGATTGTGAAGTTTGTCGCAGCACAGTGAATCGACACCGGAGATTGGATGGTACGACGACCCTTAAATTAGCGTCAAATATGCTTTGTTTACAACATCATTGATTGGCTGAGAGTCACCTGATCGGAGCACAACCTGGGTCACAGAACCATATTTATCAACGGGACTTTGCGAGAGAACCACACCCACATTTTCAACCATTTTTAGCACGGAAGTTGCCAACAAATGTCGAAAAACTTGTGAATTTTATGGATTTGAATAAAATAAAGCTAGCGATTGGTAAGACTGGTTAATAATATATCCCACAATGCTCTTCGAATTTTTTTATTTTATTTCAAGGCGAGAAATGGATAATTGAAGTTCCATCGATTTCAAGGCGACTGTTTCACTGCGACAACTCTACGCTGTGTTTTAGTTTCGCGAGGTAAAAAAAATATATAATAAATAGTACTTGTTAAATTATTTTGTTTTACAGCCCGCAAATTACGGGACATGATCCCCATGAATTACGATAAATAAATGCTGATTGTGTTGAATGATGGACGTCGGGACCGTTTGGAGAAACCAACAGGGATCGATATTCCAAACAAATTATTGGGACACGGTCGGTAGACATTTCAAACTAATGAAATTATTAACGAAAGACGAGATTATCCAAATATATGCAAAATTGACAAATACATAGAGATATTAGGTTTTATTTTAGCCTTAGAAATATTTTCTCTCCATCAGTCCATGTGTGGGACTTCTGTTTAGCTTCATGGTCCTTCAGCTTGTGTTCTCCTTGGGGGAAATAACAATAATTATACAAATCGTAAACTCAACACAGTCAGGAAAAGAAACCCAGACAACCATGTCGTACTTCTGTTGAAATACATTTTGTAGCAGTGCTTCACGTCAGAATATTGTTTAAAATAAAATAGTCAATCCCAGCCAAATCTAGGTCAAAGGGTCAGATTGCGTGCATATAATTATAGTTAAAACAAAAAGTATTTGAACTTTTGACGGTTGTTCAACATCTATGCACGGTTACTAAACTAGTAACCGTGATCTATCAAAACCAGAAAATTGTTAGTAGTCCGAATTTTTGCACAGTCGAAATTAAAGCGGAAATTCAACAAGCGATCGCAAAAGCGAGCGATTGAAAAGCGGAATCGGGCGAGAGGTTGGGCGAAATGAGTTCTGTACTTGTTTGATGAAGCGATGCTGATGCCACATTGTCGCCATAATGAGGCCACAATGACGCGAAGCGATAACCGCCTAACTTTTTAATGTCGCGACATTGATGCATGCCGAAGCCATAACAATGCCATAATGATGCGATGCTGAAGCGAAGGTGAAGCTGAAGTGAAGCCAAAGCTTCCGCATTCACCCATTTTTTGTTTTTTTATTCCAGTGGAAATCCACAATTATGTTTTAAATTTTTGGGAGTGTATTATGAGGCATTTGACTTGTTTTAACCCCATCCATTGTCTCACCCTAAATTTACACTTAGAAATCAAAGGAAGAAATTTAAGGTTGACTGAAAGTTCAATTTCAAACCATGTTCTGTGGATTACTTTACACAGGCTTATCTCACGATTAGGAAATTATAAATAAATAACGATATTATTTCGAGCTAAAAAACTAATTAAAAATATTACCTGAAAATGATTTTAATTTTATATGTTCAATGTACCAACTCAAACAAAATATCAAAAATAAAGTCTGGTTAAAAATAAGCCACATTTTAATGATCTAGCATGTATAGTATATGCACGTCTTGGTTTATATGCACTTCTATAAGAGATGCACTTTGAACCAATCAGATATGGTACATGTATGTGTTGTACAGACTTTGTCGGGTTACTTGTTTTTGACTTTTGACATTGTTCTTCTTTCAGTTGGTGATATTTCATCTCAAGTTATGCAGAATCCACAGGTATTAGCAGCTTTACAAGAAAGGTTGGATGGATTGGTTGGAAAAAGTACTGGTTACATTGAAAAGTAAGTAATAGTGCACACCATGTCAACGCATTGACTGATTATATACCATTCATACCGACTGTCCATGGAGCATCCATCTGTCTTCAGCAGGCTATGTGTTTACATGCTATTAAAGCATGTGGAAGCATTTGAAAATTTTTGCTGTTTTCCAATGTTCAAAGGATTGAAATAAATAGACAGATGTGCATGTTGGGCTTTAGAATTATCTACATCAACCTCAATGTGACATTCACCAAATATTATTAATAAAATTTGGCAAATAAAGGTGTTAATTTATTATCATCAGACCATCATTATATACATAGCTGCATCTGTGACTTCTTGATTAGCACCTGATGCACATTCTGGAATTCTCCACCACGCTTTTATCATTTTTTTTTAAATCATGTAATTTATCTGTATTTAGCAATTATATATTGGCTTAAATTAAATTCCTACATGTACAGTATGCATATTTGGGTATACATGCAACATACAGAGTGCATTGTGCACTCAATTGTTTTGAACCCTTATATTCAATGTTCATTGAAATGTTCAAATTGCCATAGATATTTGAATTGCACTCTTATTAGTCCCCGTTCGGACAAAGTCCGAAACGGGACGTATAATTCGGTTTCCGTTCGTGTGTCTGTGTGTCCGTCCGAAGTCATATCTCAGAATCCCTTGGACCGATTCCGTTCATTCTTTGCATGTGCCTAGTACTTTATGTGGGACATATGCACATGCAGTGGTTTAGCGATTCGATTCAAAATAGCCGACTGGCAGCCATCTTGTTTTTTGAAAATGTTGTATTTTGGACATGCTTTGTCAGTTTTCATTCAAACTTGGTACATAGATTATACATGTTAGGATACATGTCCATGACAATTTATTTCACAATTGGATCAAAGATGGCCGACTGGCAGCCATCTTGTTTTTTGAAAATGTTGTATTTTGGACATGCTTTGTCAGTTTTCATTCAAATTTAGTACATAGATTATACATGTTAGGATACATGTTCCCGACCGTTTGTGAGTTCCTGTGTCTGTCCGTCCGTGTGTCTGTCCATCCCTGCGTCAATCTGTCCAGAGTCATATTTCAGAATCCTGTGGACCGATTCCGTTCATTCTTTGCATGTGCCTAGTACCTTATGTATGACATATGCACATGCAGTGGCTTAGCGATTCGATTCAAAATGGCCGACTGGCAGCCATCTTGTTTTTGGAAAATGTTGTATTTTGGACATGCTTTGTCAGTTGTCATTCAAACTTGGTACATAGAATATACATGTTAGGATACATGTCCATGACGATTTATTTCGCAATTGGATCAAATATGGTAGACTGGCAGGCATCTTGTTTTGTTTTTCTATGTGGTATCTTGGACGTGCTCTGTCAGTTTTCATTCAAATTTGGCACATACATGTACTTTATACATGTTAGGATGAATGTCCATGACAATTTGTTTCGAAATCTGGTCAAGGATGGTCGATTGACAGCCATCTGAATTTTTGGTCTTACTACTATATTTCCACAATTTATGTACCATTTTCATTCGTATTTGGCACATACATCATACATATGAGTGTATTTCATAATCAGATCAAAGATGGCCGAAAAACGGCTGTTTTTATTTTTGGCCATATTACTACTGCACGTGTTTTGATGTAAATAAACAATCTGTTGTATACGCCACTTGGAACTCAAGTTTCAAGGACACGCTCGCGACAACCCCTTCCCTTTAATATAACGAGCACAAAGAGAACTTTCAAAAGTTTAACGGGGACTGTGTCATTTTCAATGACTTGTTGTAAAGTAATTTACGGAGGTGAATTTTGGGTAAATTTAAAACCCAAACTAGCACCAACATTTTGACACGGGAAAATCATCTACGAATATTCTATCTATATCGGACATAGTGCATTACTATGGCTATATAATGTATATACGTTTGATATCACAGTTTACCAAAGGTAGTCAAGAGGCGTGTCAAGGCGTTGAAGAATCTACAGGTGAAATATGCCAAGACAGAAGCTAAATTCTACGAAGAAGTGCATGAACTTGAATGCAAGTATGCTGCCCTCTATCAGTCATTGTATGAAAAGGTTTGTAATTGTAACTTTGGTTTTCAATTGAGACAACTATGTAAACATAATATTCCATTGGGAATTCCATTGTTTATTTCCTAGTCATTTTTGATGTTTTTTTACTGCCCTTGTAGATGTGTACAACCTATAATATCTTTGAGCTGTCTCTGTCAATTACGTTCAAACTTCATGTTTACATTGCCTATATTCATATGCAATTTTTATTAATAGCACAAGTGTCCCAATTCAAGATGGCTGACTTGTGACCTTTCAAAATGAAACACCAAAATATTTTCAGAACTGCAGAGATGGCATTTTTTCATTTAAAAAATGTTTCATTCAAAATACATTTGTCTTTGTCTGCCGTTTGACTGATTGTACATTTCTATGACGATGTTGGGTTTCCATGACTTGTCTTATTGTACTACTAGAGGAAAGATGTTGTGATTGGTGCAATAGAGCCTACAGACTCGGACTGTGAATGGCAAAGTAGTGACGAAGAGGAAGACGATGAAGAAAATGAATTGTTGGCAGTGAGTAATGTACGACTGCCTTTATTGTGGGGGAATCAATATTCTTGTTATTTGATTTGTGTGTGTGTGAGTGAGTGAGTGATCAATATTTAATGCAAAAAATTTAAATTAATATCTGTAATCTTATTAATGCACGTAAACTTGTGTGGTCCAATCAGTGATGCATGGAGACAATGTTGCAAGAGAAAATTTGTGGAATATTGCTGCAGTGATTTCACTAGGGTCACTGATTTTTAGTGAAATGTCTTCTCAAACAATGTCAAATTCTGAAATTGTGTATGCATAAAATGGTACAATTTACCATGATAGTAAATACATACATGGGATGGCTAATCTTGTGAGCAGGATAGGTTTTTAGAGTCTGCTCATTCTCTCATACAAACTAAAGTCATTATGCCATAAACATTTAAGGGCAGCTCAAACTTAGTAATTGTTGCTGCAAATTAAGTTTGTTGAAATGGGTATGACTGACTTTTGAATTGTTGAGAATGCAAGTGTGTTGCAAGTGTTTTCCAAAAATGAAGAAGAGAATGTGCCCATAATGAAATAGAAAAATGTACTGTTATTATAACACTGACAAAAAACATAAGTGTTCTTTCAAGTGACCATGGTCTGTTGTTGATTAATATTCATGAGCTACTTAATATACATAAATAAGTGTTCTGTTTTGACTTTACTTCAGGATGAAATGAAGAAGAAAGCCTCACTGGAAGAGAAGGAAAAAGTGGATGAAAAGGAAGAAGGTTGGTTTGCAATTCCAGTATATTTTGCATGGTGACACATCTTAATGACTGATCTGGCTAACTAGTACTAGTAAAAAATTATGAAAATTGTAAAACACAACAAAGTCTTGATATTTTACTGAGCTAAAAGCTCCATTGAATAAAGAAAAAAAAAATATTGATAACCTAATTAGTAGAAAGGTTAGTCAATTTTTGGCTTTACCACTGATATCTCAAGTACTACTGATTATATTTCAATGAAACTTGGTATGTGAATGCTTTAGAATAATGGAAATTCACGTACCTGTTTAGTTTTGGTTTAAATCTGTGCATATTAATTACCTAATTTGCATAATAATTAACAATTTTTCGGCTTTTCTATTGATATCTCAAGTTCTGAAACTTGGTACAATGATGGTCTGTGACGTTGTGCAGATGATATTAGATTTACATTAAAAACTGTGCATATTAATTAACCGATTTGCATAATACTTAAGTCAGTTTTCAGCTTTTCCATCAATGTCTCAAGTACTTAACATTTTTTTTTTAATGAATCTTTGTAAGTAAGTCAATGCAATCACATTGTACCTGTACATTTCAGATAGCAGACAAATATTAGTTGCCATGCTTGTTGTTTGGAAGGATAAATAAAACTCTAAGCTTTCTTTGATTCTTTTTTTTGACAGAGAATCCCAATGGAATCCCAGAATTCTGGTTAACTATTTTCAAGAATGTAGACATGTTGAGTGAAATGGTACAAGAGCATGATGAACCTATACTTAAATGTTTAGAAAATATCCACGTTAAATTTTCAGAACCGGGTCAACCAATGGTGAGTTGAGTTTTCAGCTTTATCTGTTTCATCTTAACATTTTTTAATGCTTTTATGTCATGGTACACCTGATTACAGAATCCGTAAATAATGTTGCCCCATGACCACTATGATGTTGTTTTGATATAGAGGGAATGTACAAAGTACTTTAAATGTCACCTGCCTCTTGATCAATGCATTATAGATTTCATTTTAATATGCTAATAAAAGCTTGTACTATAGCAGGAAAATCAATAAAATTGTCATTGATCTTTTAAAATTTGCTAAATTTAACCCAATTTACCTAAAATGGCATCAATGACGCAGTTTGAAATTGTTGGTCGTTGTACTATCTGTTCGATCAGACATATTCAAACATTTTGTATTGCTACTACTATGAAATGTGTTAGGGGAGGACTGATAACAATACCAACAGTTCACAGTATTGTTTTTATCTTGCAGGGTTTTACGCTTGAATTTCACTTTGCGGCAAATGATTATTTCACTAACAAAGTCTTAACTAAATATTATTCAATGAGATCGGAGCCTGATGAAAGCGATCCATTCAGTTTTGAAGGTCCTGAAATAGTCAGCTGTACAGGGTACGTACGTATAGAATGCACTGAAACCTGTTAATAAAATTCAATTATCAGCAAATATCATGCACATGAGTTGGGGTAGTAGGGGTATGAATGGGAAGATTGTTTTTTGTCAGTGAACTAGCATACTACACATATGAAGTAGGATTAATAAGATAAGGGTATGCAACTTTGATATGTTTTGTACTTCTTTGTAAGCAATAGATATTTCATAATCTCGAAAGTTTAGTCTGTATGTCAATCAAATAAATTTTAACCAATGGCATCAGAGAGCACAGTGGACTGTTGAGAAATTTGATTGAGTAAGCCAAAATGAAAAATAAGAACATTTATCAAATTTTTGTAGAAAATTGTAAAATAAGCACTATATTTTCACCCAATGTTTGATTTACATCTCTGTGAGGTGTTTTTCTAGAAGAAGGATTTTGACATTTTATTTTAGCCGAAACTAAATAAAATTTGCTATTAGTTACTGGTGAAGTTTGCAGAAGCCAAAGTCATATGCAGACATGCTGTTACTGTTTTACGGAAAGGTGTATTAGTGATGGGGATTATTGATGTTTTCAATAAAGCCAAATGCACTTTTCAAAAAAAAGCAAGGACTCTAGCTGACACAGTTGAGATGAACTCTAAACAGTTCATTGACAGAGTTATTCATTTGCATAGTCTTTCTTGAATTGTAGGTAGATTTGTTTTAGGATTTTCTGATCATGTTGCAATTCATGTGACTTGAAATATCCATCGCTTACGACAACAGTTGCATGTCCTCCTTTTTAATACAATACCTAAAGAGTAGACTCGTTCTCTGGACAAGTCGTACTCATAGACAACTCTTGATTCAGCTCGCACGTTTTCAAGTGTGATTGTCAAATCTATTAATAAGTGAACTTTTTTTGTAACTGCATGATTCTGTGTACTGAATATGTTCGTCTCTACTCCTAAGGTGCACAATAGACTGGAAGAAAGGCAAGAACATCACAGTTAAGGTTATCAAGAAGAAACAGAAGCATAAAGGACGAGGGACAACCAGAACGGTGACCAAAACTGTCCAAAATGATTCATTCTTTAATTTCTTTAATCCTCCACAAGTTCCAGAAGATGGTGAAATGGTGAGTAGGAATTTGTTTTCTACTTTTTAGTCTAGAGAACTTTGTATCAGATTTGGACGTCATTAGAGGCTGGCACACGGATATTACGGTTTTACTTATTTGCATACTCAATACAAAATGGTGTGCACAGATCAGAACTAGCTTGTAATGTACAGTAATGATGTACATTGCCTAAACATGCAAGTATATTGAATAATAACACAGTAGCAAACAACCACATTTGCTGTACCTACCTACCTAGGTATGAATGACTGGATCTTGCCTGCCAGACACTTTGCATGTTATATTATAAGAGTGCTCTCCTTTTCAGCTATTTTTTTTCAACAAATTGCATGTTAATTCTAATGATCAGTAATGGGTCAGCTGGACAATGACTAGTTCAGAAGATGCTAATCTTCTTGATGACTGAGTTGCTGATGAGTGAATGAGTATGATAATTCCAGACATTTACATTTACCTAGTATGTTCCTGACTGTAAAATCAAGTCAGAATCAATCGAAACACAAGATGCTAGCCTGGCTTAACATGCATTTTATTTTGATATCGTTCTCAATTTTTAGGATGAAGAGACTGAAGTAGTGCTAGCAGCAGATTTTGAGATTGGTCACTTTTTCCGAGAGAGAGTTATTCCAAAGGCCGTCCTTTACTTCACAGGAGAAGCGATTGAAGACGATGATGAGGTGGGTGTTTTTTTGTCACACACTTCACAATTGAGGAAGTATCATTGTTCCCTGATTTGACCAACCTTTGTCAGGCACTGTTAGATGATATGATTCCACATGTACATCGATGATTGCTTGATAAAAGTTTCATAAATAAAATTAGTGCGGTTCCTAACTTATTTCTATGAAAATACTGACTTTGCTATTTCCCCATGTTATTAAACCTTTCTGTGGTGGCTATTTTGGATTAGAAAATTGGTATACAATTGAGGTTCATAATTCAAAAATTAGTTTGGGTACCACAACTATTTAAAACAGTGGATCACAGAAAATAATTTTAACTTCAGGAAATTTCTATCCCAACTGTGTGTTACTTGCAACCACCATTAATGTAAGAATAAGTGAACAGTGCATGCTTTGCACTTTAATTCAGTTTAATAAACAAACGATACTTTCAGTTCGATGACACATGTCTATTTAAATTGCGATTCAGTGATGAGATCGAATTAGAATGTGGGATTTGGGTTTTTTAAATCCTGTGTCCTAGAATAAATTAGTCCATATATGGACACTTGTGGTATCTGAACTTGCGCTCAGTGAAAATATTGATGTTTGCGATATGTTGTGAGTATTGTCTATGGCTTGCTATGACTATATCTAATTTTTTGGGAAACTATTTTTTTATGCAAATGTGTAACTGTTGTTTTGTTTTTTTAATTTTTGTAGTATGAAGAAGAAGGTGAAGAAGAGGTAATTTTGAACAGAAAATCAGGGGTAAAAACTAACAGTCTGGTAGATGTATGGCAGTCTCTCGTATGTTTCATGCATGTTATGTATACTCATACGCTGGGTTCTCCTCTGGGTTCTTTGCGCAACTCAAATCAACATTAAAAATTTGAACACTAGATGCATTGTACGTCTACCGCAACCTTTGGGTACTTTTAGTCAGCAGGCCTACTTTCTTTGTACAGCTGAGGTCTTATAGTCATTGGGCCTATTTTCTCTTATATGCCCTTTAGGTCTTGTGACGACTTTCTTTTTCTTGTATGCCCACGGTCTTCTAGTCATCTGGACTACATTCTCTTTTATATGAGTGTGTTGTTCATCAGCAACAGAAGCTCAGTAAACATATAATGCATGCACAGGTACAGCATGTTCACCCACCATGTGCTCTGTAGCTTTCTACCAACAGGTGCATGATAACTGTAGTTTTGGCTAAGGTAGGAGTAAAGGAAATGTGTATAATTACCTGAAATTACAATACATCCATTAGTAACTTCTCTTTCATTTTCATATTTGGTTCCACACTTCCTTCTGTATACTTGCATGTATATATGCCTTCACAGAGAGTGTATACTTTGTCATGTAGTGAAGGACGTAATTATGCACATTTCCTAAGCTGCTGTCCAGACTGCTGAACATGTCTTGGCTTTAGATGGTGTGAGAAAAGGGGAAGGGGGGAAAGACCTGATTCACAGGTGACTGTAGCATTTAATTTTTCAGGATGCTGATGGCGAGGAAGGTGATGATGATGATGACAATGACCCTGAATACGATCCCAGCAAGGTACGTTAATGTGTTACATAGAGAAGATGATTAAAAAAAAAAGTAGTGGGAGGGTTTTATATATACAGCAGTAGAAGTTAAAATTTATAAAAAAGATACATGGTTGTCCAGTCAGAATAAAATAGGTTTTCATCCCCATCTTGAAATAAACCTGAAAAATTGTTTAATAACTGATGAAAAATACTTTATTAATAATAATAAATTTTCATTGAAAAGACATTTTGGATGTTTTGTATGTAATTAATTTTCACTGAATCATAATGTTTTTTTCCCAAGATGAATGTAAAACATAGGAAAAAAGGTACTCTTCGCTTCATCCCTTCAGGGAAAAAAAGCAAAAATAATGTATTTTACTTGACCATCATAGTCAAGTTAGTTTTGTCTTTTGGACCAAATGTTCTTACTAAAACAATTATGTCGGGTTAGTGTCCATATAATATAAGGTCAAAGGTTATCAACTAGAGTACCCATGTTTACAATTGGAGACAGTAATTGTTTGTATCTGCCTTAACCAAGATCAAGAACTATAAATTACCTCCCATCAACATTTTGTTTAACTTGTAGACACAAGATTTAACATAAGATCAACTTCCAAGAAAATTTTTTTTTCCACTGATTTGTCAAATATATTTTGAGCTATATTAACTATTTCATTCTATTTGTATTATTTTGTTTCAGGATGGACAGAAGCCATCAGAATGTAAACAACAGTGAAGCTAGCCACAGTTTTTTTTTCCTGCATATTTTTTTTTCATACCCCAAGATTTACAACATTTCTTTTTTCACAGTCTATCCACGTTCGGCAAATTTATCATAAGAAAGGCAGTAACTCTAGTTTACACCTACTGCTAGAGTCTATGCTTTGCATAAACAAATAAATAAATTCAAAAAAGTAGTTTAATTAAATAATAAATAATGTTGTTTGTGTTTTTAAGTGAAACTTAGATCAATAGTAACTGGAGTCAATGTTTGTTTGTGGTCATTACATTCCTCCAGTAATGTCACCATTTACAAAATTCCTGCGAAGACTTTTAAGTCATTAAGCAAATTTGGACCTCAATCAGTGGTGATTACGTTTTCTGTCAGAATTTATAAATAATTACACTTGGAATTGTTGTATATAAAAATTCTTTGGATAAAAATGCATGTGTACAGGTGATATTGTGTTTTTATGTACTTTTAGCTTCCCTACAGGGAGTGGAAGGGGAGGGCTTGTCAAAGTTTATAATTTATTGAGGTTCGATTGTGTTCTGTAAATCTGGATTCAGTGGTTAACTACTTGTCTGGTGTAAGACTTTCCTGTAAGCTGATTGCGAAGGAGTATAGTGACTTTCACACTAATGAGTGAGTGGTTTGGTTTTTTTTTTCCCGCTCATATCATTGATATCCATGTACCGGTAGTGGCACGACTTGTAATATTTACAACAAATATGCATATGACCTTGGCTTCCGCTAACCCTTCAATAGTCATTAATGGTGAATTTTGTTTTCATTTTGGTTACAAGAAATGTCACTCTCTGCACCAATGGAAAGATGAATTTTCTGCGAAGTAGCTCTTCCAGAAAAAATGTCCCGCAGAAATGTAAATTAAACAGCTAAAAACATATTGCTTAATATGAAGTGGATGTTACACCAGAATTTTACAATTTCTTACAAAAATTTGATAAATGTTCTGATTTGTTTCGTCTGATTTACGAAATTCCAAATTGCCTGAGCAAACTTGTATTGAAAACTTGAAAAAGTATTTGCCCCCGTGGATAAAACTATTTTATTACTAGCGGAACCCAGCATATAAGACACTGTACGTATTTTCTGAAAGCTTGGATATAACAATTTACATATTTAGCTTTATCGGTGAAGTACCACTAGTGTTATCCCAAAAATAGTTTCTTTAGATGCTTACCTATTTAACAAGTCATTTACGTGAATGTTATCTGTTTTTAATAGCAGAAACAGCAGGCACATACATTTCATAGCATTTCATTGGCTTAGAAGGTTATACATTAACTGGCTAAGAATGACTTGTATACCTTGATTTAAAGTTTTCTGGGCCTGATACGTTTGATCTTTGTTTGTATTAGCCCTGTTAGAATTCATTTTTAGTATTAGTATGTGTTCGCATAATAATGTTGTTGACAATACTGTATTATCATGTCAGTAATTTATAGCGCAATTTTTTACCTAGTTTTGCATACCAAATCATTTGTACCATTTCCAGTGTCATAAAGAAATTTTTACACAGGACTGCAAGTTTAGCGTTGTAATAGTTTCTTTTTTTTTTCACTCTGGGCATTTATTGTGTTTGTAAAAAAAAAAAAAAAAAAAAAAAAAAATGACATGAATCCCACTTGTTTAAAGGTCCAGGTTTGTTTTTTGAATTGTGAATATCTTTCAATCATGATTAATTAGTAAGAAATAAAGCACTATGTGCATTCAGTATGAGCTCTGTACTTGTTAATAATGGTGTCACATGTAGACCATTAATTGGATGGATTGTTGTTTATTTTGAGTAATGTGGGAAATCCTGTTGGTCTGTACCAGTTTGTTCTATATCAATGTACAAGTATGCAATGAAACAAAAGAGAATGAGTTTGAACACTGAGGGCAGGCATTGTTGACTGAGATTTGTTAACTGTAGAGGGCGCCATGCATTATACGAGTAAGTACTGTAAAGGGGCGTAATTATTCACTGGGTTTTAATTTAGCTTATTTCGCTGACTGGAAAATGCGCTAATTTAAAACCCAGTGAATATGTAAAATTTACCATAGAACACATTATATAAATGACGAAACCGTGAATTTAAAACCCACTGAATATGCCTGAAATGGTAAATCAGTGAAATTTAAACCCAGTGAAAATTAGTCATTTTACAGTATTTGCAAAATGTTAAGAGCCCCCCCCCCTGCAGTATTAAATGTTCAAATTCACTTGGTACTAGGACTAGATAAAGCCTCGTAAAAAACTGCTTACATGTGTGAAGACAAGTTAGCTATCATATATTGCTTTTATAACATTTTTACAAATAAAGTGCTATTCAAGATATCGTCATAAAATGAAGCTATCAACATTTTCGAAGAATGGTCATTTTTTTTAACTAATGTTTGCTAATAGAGAAATGAAAATCTCTTCACAAATCCACCCATGATACTAACATATTAAGCGCTCACGCCAAGTGCAGGTTGACTTCAAAATGAAAAGTTTTACGTCTCTGGGTTATCAGCTAGGTGCTTTGCACGAACAACACAAACTTGCGGTTTCAGAAACGACACATAATCATAAAATAGTTGTAAAGTATGACTAAATAAATACTATGTTCAGTCATATTTTGCATAATCAATATCCAGTGATGAACATCGAATAAAGTTGGTGGACGAATCAGGCCGCAGTTTGACAAAAATTGCAGCCCTAGGTGCCAATAAAATTAGGCCCGGTGTCCCCTAATTGGTTCTCATTTTTACAAACAAGTAAATTGGTAAAAAATTGCTTTTTTTAAAAAGGGGTAGAAAAGGATTTGATCTAAAAAAAAAAGTCTACCAGTAAGTTGGATCTTTGAAAATTCTGTCATTCAGATACTGAGAGTGGAGAGGGTGCAAGAACTTGTTTGAGACTCGCTGGGGAGCTTACCTCAAGGTTTTTAGTAATCGTTAGACGTAGTCCGAAATGGGGACTTGTTTTGGGGTTTGTCCTGGACAGATTTTCTCCAAAGATGGTACAACGACGAATCATAATGAGACATGTGCACATTGATTTATTGTTGGTTTGGTTGGCCTTTGACTAACTGGCGGCCTTTTTTGTCCTAAAAATCAACAATTCACTACGGTCCATTACTCGCCATATTTTGAACTGTAGGCATTAATCTGCGATTCTGCCGATGACAGAGAAATCTAGGTCAGGGGAAGCCCCATGAGAATGAGGCGCAGGCCATCTTGTCCCCTGGTTCTTTGTCTCACACCGAGGACTAAGCTTACGCTACGGAAAAAGTGGGGTGGCAGGGGGTCCCGGAGTCTGGTGGGTATGAACTATGTGAATAGGCGGGTTGAAAACCCTCTGCCTAATTTGGACATGTCATCAACCGTTTCTCGGACATGCCTTGACCGATTTCATTCAGACTTTGCATTGACATCAGTCATAGTGGGTTACTGATGCACGTCATTGTTTTGTTTTTGACTCCCATGTGCGAAGCACAAAATGGGAGTCTTTGCAGTTAGTGTGTCTGTATGTGTGTATGTGTGTGTGTATGTGTGTCC